TGAGCCTTTCAGGCTTGGGAGGACCTGCCAGAGCTTGAAATGCTCTTTTGGCATAGCTTTTGAGAACCTCGATGCTCTAAATGCATGGAAATACAGATTTATTCATCACTTAGAGAGATCTTAGAAAAATAATTGTGGCAGTAAAACTCCAACTGATTTAGAAAAACTCATTTATGTTATTCAACTCTTTTTTAGAAAGGGTTCTACAATTCCTTTAATAGGAACTTTAATAAGAGTAGATTATTGTAAACTACATACATATTTGTAGGGGAGAGTTATGTGTGAATAGTCTGCGCTTGGAGACAAAGGCAGATTTATTTCTCATCTGAGAGATGATGAGATCTTTCCTAATACTCATTGTCAGTGCTGTGCTAGATGCTAAAGCTAGGAGGTCCTGATGCTTAAGATGCATGGGGAGCTTATGACCTTGTCACTGGGAGCTGTATCAGAAGGCAGGGCTTTGAGCCCCAGCTCTAGTGCTAATTTGATAATCATGGACAAAGGGCATGAACTCCTCTGAGATTCCATTTCCTTGTGTGTAAGATGAGGAGAATGATATTTGCACTAGCTTCCTCAAGGTATCGTTGTGAGAAAAATGCTTTGTAAGTCTGTAAAGTGCAGTAGGATTGTACATCAATCATTATGTAAGACTGCTAGTGTAGTGGAAGGAGCGTTGGGCGTGAGATAGAAACCTGAGCTTGGTTTGGTTCGTGCTTCTCTGAATGTTAGTGGAGGTGTAGCCGGCCTGCCTTAGTAAGCTTTACATAGAGATGAATTTTTATTACCAGTTATTGTTAGTGTTAGCTTTTGGAGCATGGCTTCTTGAGGGTTATGTCAGTAGATCTTAGACTCTGGCTGGTGTTACCAACCTGGAAAGCTTTTGAGTATGGGCCTAGTGACAGATTGAATGCCTGTGGTGGATAGCATGCAGTGGATGGAGCACTGAGCCTGGAGTCTGGAAGACCTGAGTTCAAACCCCACCTCAGACACTAGTTGTGTGACCCTGGGCAAGTCACTTAATCCTGTTTGCCTCAGTTTTCTAATCTGTAAGGTGAACCGGAGAAGGAAATGGCAAACCACCCCAGTATCTTTGCCAAGAATACCCCAAATGGGGTCACAAACAGTGGAACACAACTGAAAACAACTAAATAACAAACAGGAACTTAGCTAAGTTCTAAACTTAGCCAAGTTCTAAGAGGCTCATGACCAGGTTATGAGCCACGTGGTTGTAAAATGGCCATGGGATTATAAAAGTTTTGGCCCTGGCACTCTGGAAAACCATCTGTGAAGGCATAGAGGGGTTGACATCTGATTGGTGGAACTGATAGCAATGAGATCATGAATATTTGAAGAATGAAGTTTTATTGTCATTAGCAATAACAAAAATTTAAAATTAAGCTGCACTCCAAGAAGGACAAATGTGCTGGGCAATTGCTAAAACCCATTAATTTGTCAGATATGTACATTTGTAATCTTCATATGTAATATAAATGTACGTTACATTTACTAAATGTAAATTTGTAGTTTTCAAAATCAGGAGGAATTACAGGCAGGCAGATTCTTCTCCTCTATAGCACTGTAAAGCTCGGCGGACAGGCTCAGACTTAAATGTGCAGTTTTTAAATGTAATTTCCCCCTCCTTTCTTTTAGGTATTAGTTTGGAAAAAAAGTTCTGTAACAGTAGCAACGATTTAACTTGGGTTTCTGAAGAGTTCTTCAGAGAATGAAAGATTCCAGGGGCTCCACGGGGCTAGAAGCAGTTGAAGACCTAAAGAGTTTGGGCATTGGAATAGAAAGAGAGTGAATTTAAAACAGCTGCTGGTGGGAGAGGGCTAGAAAGGTTAATGTTGTTTTAATTATATGTGTTGTGTGTGCAAGTGATACATTACTTTGACATGAATACTAGCCTCTCACAGTGTCTCCCTTGATCATTCTTCCCTTCAAACCAAATCAGAATAAAAAAATTGATTTGAAGCGCTCTGGACTGTTTAGAAGAAGTAGGTTTTGATGATTTTTAAAAATGGATTTTTATTGATATCTTTTGTTTTTACATCACCTAGATTTCCTCCTGTATCCCTCGCTCTGCCCCCTCACAGGGAGCACGGAATTTTTTTTTTTAAGACAAAGAGGATTGACAATTAAAAAAAACTTAGCTAGAGAAATATGAGCCAATTAAGTATTTCCTTTTTCATTCCCAGAAAATTGGTCAAAGCCCCCTTCTGAAAAAGCTGAAAACTTATTGATGCAATAGATTTTCTTGAATAGAACTAAGTCACAGTCACGTGTAGGAATGCTATACTGATGAAACCCAGAAAGTAGGTATGTAGGAAACAAATAATGTGTGTATTGTAATCTAAATACTATGCTTTACTTCAGAGAGAGACTACTTCCCTCTTCATACCAATTAGCTGGATGAGATGATAATCAGTCATTATGGTTTTATTTTTCTTGGCTGGCCTCATTGCTGTAGCTTAGGCAGGCACAGAAGATGCCTGAACCCTCCCCATTTGCCAATTCAATGCAAGAAGGTAGTCTTAGATAGAAGTCTGAGGACACAAAGTGTCAAAGTTCTGGAAACTCCAGAATAATAGACTCAACTGAATCCTTTTTTGTAAACTGACTCCTTTGCCACATGGTAAGTAATTGGGTCTGGAAGAGCTTCTAATTAAAAGCTAGGCAGCCCCAAATGCCACAAGGTGGTATGTAGAAACAAAATAGTCCAAATCCTTGTGTTGTAACTTCCCCTTAGTGCAGGAAAACACATAAATAATGGAAAGTCCTTTCATTTTGGAACCATGTCCCATTAAAGCAAAGGTCTTGTGTCCCTCCTGCCACAATTTAAAGTGTAATTTGTTTCTTTTGAATAGCAGCAATTTCTGGTCAGTTTATGTGTTTGTATTAGGAGGAAGGAAGAGCTGATGCACAAATGAGATTTATCTGTATGTGTTTCAGCTATTAGTAAAGTCTCTCTTATCTTATTAAGGACAGCAGAGCTGTGAAGCCAGCAGTCAGCCATTGACAGAAACCCTGCAGGCCATGAGGGCAAGAAACTCTGGGTGTTTGTTTGTTTTTGGCCAGGCTGGCCCATTACATTGCGGCCTGCAGAACCGATTATCCGTGCAGAAAAGAGAGAGAGCCAGCTAGGAAGAGACATAGGGGAGACCTTTTTGTGGAGACATGACCCAACTGTGGAAATGTCGTGTTAGGCAGTGGGCATGCTGCCAAAATCCCAGGCACAGAGAACCCCAAGAATTATGCAGCAGTGACTCTCACAGGGTCACACAGAGTTGGGTCCTCCACAGCACTTTATGGAAGCCGCTCTGCTCTCTCCTTTGGGCCAGCGTCAGAAGCTGCTGAACTTGCATTTGCACGTCCTGGGACCTTGATGGTATCCTTTGGCTTTCATTCACTGCATTGGCTGTGGAGATTTCATAGGTCTCAAAGTCAGAAGGATCTCCAGGTATCTGATCTAGCAATCGGCCTTGAAGCAGTTAAGGTAGTTTGCAAACTACCTTAACTGAAGCACAACCAAAGCCCAGAGATTAGGTTATTTACCCAAAGGTATATAACCAGGAGGTGGAAGAGTAGGGTGGAGAGCCCAGGTCTCTTGCCATGGCATCACACTGGTGTTTTGGTGCATTACTGATCCATGTATTTTCTTTTCAGTGATATGTAATCATGGAAATGGCAGATGTCAGCACATATGTGATGATACAGATGATACAGATGAGTGTAGTTGCCACCCAGAGTACAGGGTACACCCAGATGGGAGGTCCTGCCTGGGTCATTATGCAGACTGGCATCTATAGTATCAGAAAATGATGCTACTGATGACAAAGGCTGTCTGTGGATGTGGGTGTGGTGTGACCAACAGTCCTCTCTGCACTTCTGCTGTTGAGATCGCCCTTTGGTTTTTGGCTCTAGTCACAGCGACGTTCTTTAGATATAGGCTATATTAATAGAAGCATGATAATAGTTGATGTTTGTATAGTGCCTTCAATTGTACAAAGTGCTGCTTTGTATGCGTTATCTCATTTGTGCTTCAGAGAGCTCTGTGAGGTCGGTATTACAGGCATTCCTGCCACTATCTGATAGATGAAAAAACTGAATTTAGTGACTTGCCCATGGTCACATTGCTAATAAGTGTCAGAGGCGGGTTTTGAACTTGAGTCTTCCTGACTCCAGGTCCCAAACTCTATGTATTATACTATCTAGTTCCTTTTCAGTGATTTTTTTCACACCTTGGAACTTTTTTCTCATCTTGGAAGAGGGAAGACATTTGCTACTGATACTACAGAGTATAATGTGTTAAACTTGTAAAAATTGCTTTTGAAAAATCTTTCATACTTGGTTTTTTGTTGTTTTTTTTGGGGGGGCGAGGTAATTGGGGTAAGTGATTTGCACAGGGTCACGCAGTTAGTAAGTGTCAAGTATCTGGTCTGACACCAGACTTGAACTCGAGTCCTCCTGACTGTAGGGCTGGCGCTCTATTCACTGCGCCACCTACCTGCCCCTTTCATACCTTGTTTACAATGAATATATTGCTGTTTTCATGTGTTGTTTTCTTTCAAAATGATATAAGGATGAGTTGACAATTAGGAGGTGTTATTTCATGCCTCCAATGAAATAACATGCTCATGTAGTTCATATTTTTAAAGCATATTTAAGATTTCAGAAGAAGTCAATGGTGACAAAGGTTTCTCTAGGGCAAAGATTCTTAACTTGGAGTCAGTAGACCTCCAAAGCATCTATGGATAGATTTCTGTGGGTCTGTGATTTTTTTAAAAAAAATATTTTGATAACTATATTTCAATATAATTGGCTTTCTTTGTAATCCTATGTGTTTTATTTTAATGCGTGAGCATTATTTTGAGAAGGCATCCGTAAACTTCATCAGACTGCCAGAGAGGTCAACAGAACAAAAATGGTTAAGAACCCCTGCCGTAGGAGTAGGAATGGTCCCTTGACTCTTCTGTTTTTGTTGTTTGTTTCTCTTACAGAGAAAGAGGAGTCTACCCTGCAGCTAATGGAGAACAACGTTACATCATCAGTAGCTGAGGGTGACAAAAGAGTAAAACGGAGGCTACTTATGGGTAAGATCAACAACCTCTCACTGCTTACATCATCGGAGGGCAGAGAGGCCCATGCGCTCCATGTAGGCCTCATGGCCCTTTTTCTCAGTCTAACGGTAGCAACATAATAGATCGCTCCTGTTGGACTAGGGAGTATCAGACTTTACATTGCCTTTAATTACGGTTTTTTTGTTTGTATATTCTTTGCCCTCTTCCTTTCTTGAGGGCAGAAACTCTTGACATTCATCTTTGCATGCCTTGTAGCACATTGCACATAGGGCCTTGATCAATAAATGTCTGTTGAATGGGTGGCTACAACACCTGGTCTATTATTATATTCAGTATTTAATGAGAGGAGAGAGACAGACAGACAGACAGAGATAGACAGGGAGAGAGAGTCGAGTGCTTCTTTTTGAGGCATCATTTGGAAGAAGGATTCGTTTTCTGCTTGGCTCTGGAGGAAATTTCTGCAAAGCTGATTGTACTTCAGTCTAGGGACTAATTTCCTAAGTATTTGAACTATTGAAAAGTGTGACCAGCTGCCTTGGGGAGACTTTTGGGTGGGGCCTGTCTGACCAAGTCCTTGCTGGGGATCTTATAGAGGGGATTCACCTTTTGGTGGTGGCTGAGCAGGCCGCATGGGCAGTGATGGGGTCAGACAGAGTGCCTGCTGCAAACGAGTACCACCCCATGTGCCTGGAGACCTCCTTTCCCCTCTGGGCCTCCACTTTCTCTTGTGTAAAAGGAAAAGCTCGCTCTGAGGTCATCTCTCCTAAGTATCTATGGCCTAAGAGCTCTGAGTCTGTGATCTTAGCACTAGATGGTCTCTGAGGCCTCTTATAACTCCAAGGGTCTGGGATTCGTTTCATTGCCCTTCATTTAATCATTCTTATTTTTTTCCAGTCTACTGCCTCTCTTATATAGGAAATTTAGGCATGAGCAGATTGAGGATTAGGTATAGTATAGCCCCCAAAACTGTGGCAATAGAAATTTACCACTCAAATTATATTTTTTCTGGTAAAAAGGAGAGCCAGAACAGTCTGTAGAGCATTCAGGATGAGCTCTTGAAGCCTTTTTAGGGTTATTTCAGCAAAGCAGCTGATTTCATATTTAGCAGCCTGTGGCAAGCTGGCATTTGTAATTTCTAACTGAATTTTATACAGTTCATAATTGTTCACAAGGGATCACCATAAGAGATTATCAGTCATGATAGAGGCCGAGCGGGGGAATAATTTGCCCATGGTCATTCAGCTTAGTCAGTGACAGAGTCTGGACTAGCCTCTAGTTCTCTTGGCCTTAAGCCTAGTGTTCTTTGCCCAGCTCTGGGACACTTCTCTTCCTGGGATACAGGACTCTAGATATCGATCAGTAATAGTAACTGCCATTTCTGTAGCATTATAAGCTTTACAAAGATCTTTTCATACAACAGCACTATTAGGTAGGTCAGGCAAAGATGGTTGTCCCCATTTTACAGAGGAGTAAGTTAAGGCCCTGAGAAGTAAAGTGATCTGTTATGGATCACTAGGTCACAAGATCACTGATTGTGATTTAGAAGTGACCTCAGAGGTCCTCTAGAACAACAGATGAGGAAAATCAGATGCAGAGAGATTGTGCCTTACTGTAGCTCACCCAAGTAGCAAGTGAGTAGTACAGCCAGGATTCAAACTCGGGATATCCTCGAACTATTGGGCCTTTGACCTGTGCAGGGAGCAGGTGGCAGGACAGGTGGAATGAGTGGCTGACTGGAGAAGGGGAAGCATGCTCTGGGCCTTCTAATTAGAGAGAACTGAGGCAAGTTTTCAATCACTGACCCACCAATCAACCAGCCAGTAAACACTTATTAAGTGCAGAGATTCACTTCTGTCTGGGGTTAGGAAGCGTGGTCTCTGGAGGGTCAGTGTTCTTGGTGGAGAGAAGTGGACAGCAACAGAGCAGATGGTCAGATTCTGCTCCAGCCCCAGGCCCAGTACTCTTACCATTAGCATATGCTGCCTTCTTCCACCCCTCCAACCCGTCACTGTTTTAAGAAGATACGGCCTTCCAGTGATAAAGCAGGCACTTCCCCCCTTGCCGTGGTCTGCACTGGATCCTGGAAGTCCCAACATTGCCTTCCATGGCAATGACATGGACTCCATCAGTGTGTACCACATTATGCTTTTGGCATATGCTTTCTTGGACTTTCAGTCACGTAGGAGCATTGAGACCCTGCAGTCCTTTCTTTCTAGCTGTATTATTGCTTCTCAGAAAAGCAAACAGTTTTTTCATTTCCTTTTTTTTTTTTTTAAATCAGAAACATGTGCTGTAAACAATGGAGGCTGTGACCGAACGTGTAAGGACACATCTACTGGTGTTCACTGCAGCTGCCCCGTGGGATTCACCCTCCAGTTTGATGGGAAGACATGTAAAGGTAGGTTCCCTTCTGACAGAGGAAATGTGTGTCCAAGTGCTAAGAATAAGCCCTGCTGTGCCAACAGGACACAACGAGGACAACTCTTTTCCATCTACACCCGTCGTTGCCACCTCCTGTCTTAAGATTTTATTATGACTCATATCAATAGCAGATTTTCTTATTTGGGCCAGTGAAAACTTGTGATTGAGCAAGCTTAATTAAAACCAATTTAATTCTGTTAGCTGTTGGGAAGGTCAGCCTCTAGGAACATCAAATAATTCATTTCAGGCTATAACCTTATTAGAAAAAAAGGCAGAAGATCAAGGAAATAGCCATTTTGAAGAGATAATATCAGCATATTATAAGTAACAACCTAGATAATTATCCAGAGTAAATTAATGAAGAATTAACCCATTAATTCTTACTGATCAAGGGAATCTCAATGGCTTCTTGGTATTTTATGGGCATAAGTACAAAGGACTGGATACTTAGCATGTTAGAAAGAGATGGCTAGTCATCTGTTTCAATTATTTGCTATCAACTGTATCAATTGGAAAAATGTAAAATTACTTTTAGTATCAGGAAACGTTTTTTAAAAATCAAGTATTTTCAGTTTCATAGCAAGTGTTTGAGCTCCTTAAAAAGTTTTAATGATTAAAATAGGACTAGAGACTATACTGAAAGAAACTGAGCCATAAAGGAAAAACATGCAAGAGAACTTCATACTTATTTCCCATAGCTTTATTCCCTGTGGCTAGGGAAGAGTAATATAGGAGTTCTAAATAGATTCCAAAAAGATGAAGATTATTACCTTTTAAAAAAAGCAGTGAGTGGGGAAATAATGAGTGTGCCCATTTTAAAGCAGAAAAACCAGTGACAAGTAGAACCTCCTTGAAAACTCTTTAGTGAGCTCTTCTTGGGAATTATAGAGCATTTGCAAGCACCTTGGGGGTCAGTAGGGAAAATCAACCAACGTACTCATTTTCATTCGTATTTGCCTGTTGCAGATATTGATGAGTGTCATACTGGTAACGGAGGCTGTGATCACTTCTGCAGAAACACTGTTGGCAGTTTTGATTGCAGTTGCAAGAAAGGATTTAAATTATTAACAGATGAAAAGTCTTGTCAAGGTATGTGCTGAGAATGCCTGAAGATTGACTCACTGTATGGCCTTGAACCAGTCACCTATCTACATTATATCTCGCTTTGTGAAATAGAACAAAAATGCTAACATGCCTCATGGGTATATTATGCATATCAAAGAGTTCATGATCAAAGACCTTGAAAAACTTGCTCTTCTTAGGGGGAAAAGGAGAATTTAGAACAAGTTAAGTCAAACCCCATAATAAGGTTCCTCCTCTTTTTAAAAGACATCATCTTAGTTCATCGTGTGAAGTGTATCTGAGAAATATAAGCAGGTGTTCAGCCATCCTGCCAAGGGCATGTTTTGTAGCTGACATAAGAAAATGGACTGAATTTTCTCAAATAGCAAGAAACTTTGCCATAGAAGCATCTGCCTTTCAAAAGCTTATGATAGCAAGATGGTGGTGCCTGTCAGTGATTAGCAACTGAATTTGAGCCTTGTGTCTGGTTTGGAAATGACAAGCTTTGACAGGCATGTGGATGCATTATTTTTATAAGTTTGTAAAGGGACGTATGTAGGGATAAACCCTCAGGAAGCATATATTCCTTGCATCATTCACTTATATCACCTGGGCGATATTTTAAGTGATGAGAGCTGGTTGACGCTTAGAGATATGGACTATACTGTATATTTCTGCCTGCATTTCACATAAAGATAATATTACCATTTTAGCTTTCCCCCCATTGCTGTTCTTCCTTCTGGTTTCAATTCAGTGATGATTTATTAAGTACCTATTATGTGTGCTAGATGCCATCGGAGGCCTTCTCAGGAGTCCTAGCTCAGAGAATTCAGGACCTTAGAGTCCCTGGGCTACCTGAATCTGAGCACTGAGCTCTCTGACACCATTCTGGTCTATACCACTCTGGAGGTCATGCTGCTTTCCACCCAGGGGCTTTCTGATAGCCTCTGATCACCCTGGGAGGTACTGGCCCTGGCTTTGCGAGGTGGAAGGGGGTCCTTTTCTATTGCCTGTGGGCTTCTGGTTAACATTTTGAGCAGTCCTAGGAAGCAAGATATCACTTGCTGTAATTTCTCATCGTTCAGTATGGTTCAGACTCAGGGTTTTGTTATAGTAGGCATGTAGGAGCTGAGCAACCTGCCTCAGTTCAGGCAGCCTTCTTTGCCAGAAGCCCAGTATGCCATTAGATTGATAAAACCAACCCCCAAACCCTTCATGCACAGAGTATACCTTTTTTAAAAAAATGGGTAAGTGGATTTGGTTTTAGGTGGCTATATGGCATGGTTTTCATTAACCTGATAGAGTATTTGCTGTTCTTTATAATCCTTTGGAACATATAAAATAAAAAAAAATATTGCTTAAGCTTCATAAACACATTGAAAAGTAATTAGGAAAGTGGCACCACTTTAGGGGTTGAGGATGGGGAGTAAAATTTTTAGCAAGTAGCAGTAGCAAGACTGGTCAGTCAGTTGGCTATTTCCTAGACAACTAATTGACATGAATAATAAAATTAATAAAATGGCATTAGCTATGAAGGAAGAAACAGTGGCTGTTTTTCATCTTTTGCTAGTCAGTTTCAAACATATAATTATTTACCTAGCAAATTTTCTGGGGGAAGCGATCAGTTAAAATATTTAGTAGAAGATTGATTGCTTTAGTAGAAATTGATTGTTTAGTAGAAAATTGAGACAGTGTTGCATAGTGATAGAGAGCTGGCCTTGAAGTCAGAAAGACCTGGATTCAAATTCTGCCCCGATATGTGAGCTAGAGAAAGTCCTCTCAGTGCTCTCACAGCTCTGTAAAGCTTTAAGTTGAAGAGGACGACTCCTCACCAGGGACTTGCCTGTATCAGTGAAATCACAGATCCAGTCTTTATCTCTATTGGGAATTAATTACCCTCCACAGTTTCTTTGCTCTACTTTTCCCCAAGTGTGTGTTGAGATTAAGACTAATGTAACTTCTCATGAAACACTTCGTATTTAGAAAAATGGCTTTAACAGAATGAACTAATGCAGAATGATTAGATTTTGGTGAGCAAAATGATCCTAAATTGGATTGTTATGCCGACGTTTCCATTTAAATAAATTACTGCAACCCATTGAAATGTCTAGGAAGTGGTTTGCAAAGATTTCAGCCTATAGAGGAATGTAGAGATGAGGCCAGGAAGGAGAGCTGTGATGAGACAAACATGCACGCTGCTTAATGAGGATGATGGTGCTACTGGGGGTCTTGATCAGAGCAGTGACAGGCACCAGGGAGTCAGAAAATTTGCTCTGTGGAATACGTGACTCAGGCTAAGTCTGTCTGGAAAGAAGAGTTGTATCTTCAGATTTTAAGTGAACACTGTTCGTATGGAACCCTATTGAGGGTAATAGTATTAAGATATTCTTGGACAGGGCTGGAGTTAAAATCTTAAAACCCTGGACAAACTAGTCTGACCTGATCAGAGACTAAACCTGACTTCAAGGGTGTCTCTCCATACAACATGATAGCTTACCTCTCAAAGCATTATATATAAATCATATAAGCTAGCATGGTGAAGGGCTTCACGTTTGTCCCACATGAAAATTGGTTGAAGGAACGAGGAATGTTGAATATGGCGAAAAGAAGATTGGAGAGGGACAGGATAACTAGCTGTCTTTAAGCAGTTCAGGGTCTGTCAGGAATGAGGAATTAAACCTCCTTTATTTGGACTTAGAGGGCAGAACTCTGAGGATTGGAGGGAAGGTTAATGAAAGGCAAATTTAGGCTTGAGGTCAGCGATGACTTCCCAACAATGAGAGCCATCTGAAAGTGCAGTGGTCCGACTTGGGAGGGAGGGGTTTTCCCTCTACTGGAGATCTTCAGACAAAGGCTGGATGATCAAGACTTGTCAGTTATGTTGTGGAGGAAATTTATTTTCTATTAAGGGTTAGACTTAGATGCCTTTGAACTCCAAAATTCTGTAATTCTGTGAGAAATGATGTTACTGTAATTTTTATTATCAGCAGATATTTTAAAAATGTTTACGTAATAGAAGTTTTAATATTATGGCATAATGCTTTTTTGTATTGTATTGGCAGTCATTGTTTGCATGTTGATTTGTGACATTAGTAATAAAGGCTTTCTGATGGGATGAACTGGTTGCTATGAGGAAAGTGATGGCTGACCAGTGCTCCCAATTAAGGTTCAGCTAACTGGTACACTGAATTCTTTAGAATAAAACATTGCTAACCCTTCTTTCAAAATTTACAGATATTGACGAATGCTCTTTTGAAAGGACCTGTGACCACACATGCATCAATCATCCTGGCACCTTTGAGTGTGCTTGTAATAAAGGATACACCTTGTATGGTTTCACACATTGTGGAGGTGAGGGGAACGTATCTACAGGTACACCATATGGGGGTGACCATGATTTGGGGAGAAAAGGAAGTATGCCCAACCTTGAAGTTTCTTTAGTTTCCTCCATATTGCGTAATGAAAGGAAAATTTCTGTCCTTCCTACACGGGCAACAGCCCATGTTGGCTTTCAGTAAGAGTGAGATGACTAACACTTTCAACAGTTTTGTTTCCTCTCATCAGCATGAAATGGAACAGAAGGGAATTCGGAGCTCTTTCAGCTGTGAAACTGTTTATTTGCTAGGGGACAATTGTACTTGTAATATAAGGAAGTGAATTCTATAAGCTGATTAACAACAACTCCAATAAGCATTTATTAAGCATCTCTTATGTTCATGGTATGGTGCTATGTGTTGAGAAAACAAAAGATGCCACACTTAGTCCTTGCTTTCAGGAAGCTAACAATCTAATTAGGGGCAGGGTAATAAGACACATACACGAGTAAGAAAGATACAAGGAAGAATGTGATATAAATGCAAAAGAGAGATCCAGAAAGGATGCTATGAGGTAGCAGTCCTGGAGGGAGGAGAGATATGAACTCATTTCTACAATGTTTTAAGATTTACAAAGCCTATTTCTCACAATAACATGTAAAATAGGATGTGTAAGTTTTATTATCTTCATTTTATTTCCCTGAGTTGCCAGAGATTCAGAGAGGTTACTGCAGTGCCAGAGCAGGGTTCAAACTCATACTCACACTGAGGAGGCCAGTGAACCACGCTGCCTCATCTCTCAGCTGGTGAAGGCAAGGGTTGTGGGTGGGGAAGGTGGGCAGGAAGAGGCTTTGCATCTGGCAGCACTTGTCAGCCTAGAGCTAGAGTTGTGAACCCCAGGAAAGGAGAGAGGAAACCTCCAGCTGAGCTGCAGCCCTGGTCTGCTCACATGTTTGCTGTTGAGTCAGAGGTCCTAATGCTATGAGTCAGTATTTGGGCCGAATGTGATCATGAGAGGTGTTCTCACCTCTCATAACCCTCATGGACAAATAGTTCTTGCCAATGTATAACTTGAATTTTTACGACTGCAGTTGTAGGTCTGCTTCCTTGTGCTCTGTGAAGAGGAAAGCAGATGTTCACTAAAATGAGTCCAACAGCTCTTCATTCCCCAGTAGCTCACATAAGCTTGAGGATCGTTATCCCGAATCTGATTCCGCTGATAAGTCTGGCGCCTCGTCAGCGTGCTGGGGTGCCCCCAAGGAGCAGTGGAGTGGCTTTCTCTATTGCCGTCGGCTTGAAACCTCACCCATGTGCCTCCCCCAAGATTATGAACTGAGAATCATTTAGTCGGCCAGTCTTTAGTAACTTTTTAGAAGTGGATATTTTCTAAAGAGGTACAGTAAGCACAGTTGGTACCAAACATTCCTTCGAGTCTGTGATGCACAATCCTGCAAGTTCATCCAGAATCCATGGAAAAGGGAGCTCAAGCTCAGACAGCGCAGATGGCACAAGCATAATCAGTTCCTGGAAGGTCTTTTTTCCATTGGTGGGATACCATTTCTTTGCTGGGCTCCTTGTTGGACTAGGAGTCCCAATGATGCAGGTTTCAGACCCGCCTGCCAGCTGACCCATGGATGCTGCTTAGGGCACTGATGAGAAGATCAAGTACAGCTTCTTCTGGACCTTTGGAACTGAAAGTCCCCTCTGGTCCAAAGGAGGAGGAGCCTAAGGAAAAGGTCTAGCCAAGGCTGGAGCCAAAGACTCTCCTTCCTCCCAGAAGGTTCTTCCTTAGGAATGTGCTGGAAAACCACGCACTGCACTTTCTGGAATTCCTCTCTTTTCAGCTCGTTTGATAGTTTATAGATGATTCTTTGGACTTAATCAAGTTTCCTTGGCCTATCAAAACACAGTTCTTGTATAGTTAAAGGCCGTTTCTTGGTCTAACACCTTTTCCTTGATTGAGAAATTGGTTGAGAATTGTTCTCCCCTGGTTTAATATATCAAGCCAAAAATGGTGTGGGATGCTTTGGATTCCAGTCTTGGCCTGTATTAAGTACCCTTTTAGCTTACTCTTAGTTGGGTTAAAAACTGAATGCCTTTCTAGTATATCACAGAACTTTTTAAGGGACCTGCAAATTTGTTTGTACTGAGACATCAAGCAAATGTGTATATATTTGGTTTTGGGGGGTGGGGAGGAAGTCATATTCTGTCCTGTTTTCCTTTTTGGATTTGGGATGGGTGCCAGAAAAACATGGGTTCTTCTCTCTTTGCCATTGACAAATGTTACACTTAATTTGAGTCACATTAAGGGACTGGTTCTGGGCCCACAAGGGCTGTGACACACCATTCACTACTTTTCCCTGAGGAGTCCCTTTATTCTGGAACCATGTATATAGTTCATACCTGGCTCAGTCTTGGAGCTCATCATGCCTCTAATGAGAGGAGGGATTAGGTTTCATTTTCTCACTCTCTTTGGCTAGTAAAACTCCCACACCAGCACCCTAGAGAAAAATTATATAAAGGTTAGGCTGTGGTTCATGTTTAGGGTCTCCCCAAAGTGGAGAGTAGAAAGGTACTCTGTGTACAATATGGATCAGATATGGGATAGGTATTTATTTCTAGTGCACAAAAAGAAGGCTAACAGACACAAAAGACTTAGCCTACACTGAGGGGCTTAAAACAGGATTTAGTAACTTAACTTAAACTTCGCCAGGGGGCTAATACTTAAACCTCAGTGGAATTCTTTATAGAATTTTGGAGGATTACTCAATAAGCATTTCACATTTCACCTTCTGCACTGTCCAGCAGCTCCCACATCACAGCTGATGAAACAAGTTAAGCATGAACCCATCCTCCAATTGGTGTCATCTTTTCCTGGAGCACTGGAGTTGTTATCAGGGACCCCTCTCCTTGCCAGGCGGTCAGGCGGCTCTGACCAGAAGGACCTAGGACCTCTGGGCCCCTTGAACTCACAAAGTCATCTTCAAGCCTGTGTATCACAAGATATCCATTCAAATGCAAAAGAGTCAGCCCCCAATTCAGGTGCAGGCACACCTGTGCTTTATCTGCCATGTGCTCTTAGCCTCACGGTAGCTAGGAGCTACCATTTCTCTCCCAGCCCTCATGAGAGGTGCTGAAGATGTTCCCAATGCAGGTAAAGCTAGAAGAGAAGAGAGCATTGAGTCTAGGGTCACCCTTCTGAAGTAACTAACAAGTCTCCTCTTTCTGCTCTGCAACCAATAAGGGGTCTGCGTGGGAGCTTCAAAGTACCAAGTCCTTTCAGCAATGTACCACCACAGGACTGGAAGCAGCAGGGAACCTCCTTATGCCCAGGTGCTGAGGCCCAATGTCCCCAGAGTCCCGTTCCCTGGGGTGGCTTCATTTCCCTTCTCCCTCCCTCCCTTTAGTAGTCTGTCATTCTAGGAGAGATGATTGCTTGTTTCTTCTCATGCGTTAGAGGTATGTGAAGGGAAAAAATATATATATAAATATATATTTATGAGAGAGAGAGAGAGAGAGAGAGAGAGAGAGACAGAAACATAGGAAGCAAGAGAAAAACTGGTTTGATTACAAATGTTAGTGAATCAATCCACTAGTGAAATTTGTGCCAGTCCCATTAAGTTAAGGAATCCAGATGAATGACTAATAGGTGAAGGGATAAGTTAATGCCAAGCATGTTTCCTACAGAAAATGAACAATTCTGTTTCCTTTTAAAATCTTATTTGGGAAACAGCATGCGGTGGTGGGAAAAGCACTGGCGTAAGAGTCAGATAATTTGGGGTGCGTCTGGGGATACACATACCGTGTAACCTTGGGCCAGTGGCTTCATCCTTTCTGGGCCTTAGCTTCCTCATCTCTAGAATGGAGATAATAATACTTGCACCATCTATGTTACAGGGTTGTTGTTGTTAGGAGAAGACTTTGGATGCACTAAAGCAGTCAGGTCAAACTCAAATAGAAATGGGGGCCATTATTCTGTATGTAAGGATCCCTGAGGACCACATACTGACTTAGTTTTTAAAATGTAATATTATCTGTATTTTATTGTATTTTTTATCTATTTTGTTAAATATTTTCCAATTGCATTTTAATCTGGTTTGGGCTGCATTTGGGAGTGTTGTGGGCTGCACAGGGCCCAGGCCTCTGCTGTAAAGCATTATATAAATGCAAGCTGTTACTAACATTTGTATCATGTAATTCCCTTGTTTCTGATCACAAAGGGTAAAGATCAGGAGTAGGAAATCTGCGGCCTCCAGACCACATGTGAAGTTTGGATTCAGTCAAAGGGCCATACCTGAGAATCTAGGGGTCCACATGTGGCCTCAGGGCTGCAGGTTTCCCACTCTTGGTAAAGATGATATATAACTGAATCGTAGAATCTCTGAGTTGAAAGAGACCTTGGAAATCATCTGGCCCAAACCATATGAGATCAATAATCTCATCTAAAATATCCCTGCATAGCTGCCAATGAGCCATTGCAATAAGGAGCTCACCATTTTGTGAGGTAGCTGTTTCCACTTTTGGACAGTTCTCAGCATAAAGGAGATTTTCCATAGAGTGAGAGGAAGTCTTTTGCCTTCTAACTCTGGGTATGAAGTCCATTCACCAAAGCTGATTTTCTTCCTCAGACACTAATGAGTGTAGCATCAATAATGGAGGCTGCCAGCAGATCTGCATGAACACCGTGGGAAGTTATGAGTGCCAGTGCCTCTCAGGCTACCAGCTCCACTGGAACAAGAAGGACTGCATGGGTAAGGCCTACTGCTTGTGTTTCCTCCATCCACAGGCTCTGACCATTTGACTAGAAGGGGGTGCAGTAGTGAGCATTTTTACAAGTCTTGATCCGACAGCCGTGTGGAGTGGGTTGCCATGTCTTCCATGCCTTTTGCACTTGATACGCCGTCCGTTGTTTAAAAATGGTTGAGAAACAGGAGATACTTTGTAGGGTCTTTGGTACTCTCTTCTGTGTTTCTGTCAGGTGTATGCTTCTGTTTTCTATGGGGCTTTCCTGTATGAAAAGTAGCCCACCTAGGGCTGTTGTCCTGGGATGTGAAATGGAGTGTGTACCTCTGGCTTCTTCTGGCTTCTTCTTCTTCCCTGACCAGAACATTAGTTAGATGGAATGTGCTTTGACATGTTCATGTTTTTGTGTTGCCTTCCATAATTTTCAACTGTGGAAGAAAACTATGTTTTCTGTTTCCATACATATTTGTGTTTTGTCTTGTTTAGAAGTAAAGGGATTCCGGCCTGGTAACATGTCCCCCAAAGTGTCCATGCGCTGTACTAAGAGTGGTGGAGTGGATAACTGCTTCCTAAACTGTCCCTCAGATGTCCACCTCTCTCCAGGTGAGTGATCAAGTCTGCTTCACCCCCACCCCCGACCCCAAGGCTTTACCTGAGGCAGAGATAAGTGGATGCCTGCTGTGGAAATAGACCACTCTAACCAAAGTGCTTTTCTTTTTTTTTTTAACATGGAACTTTCTTGGCATTTTGTCTAAATAAACCTCTTTTACGTTAGGTCATAGACAGCAAAGGCCAGAATGATTTTAGTTTCCACTCCCTGTAGGTAGGGATTTTAGCTGCGTTACCTGTGTGCGATGTGTCCATATATGTAATTGTTGAATTCTGTGTTTTGCCTGTTAGGATATCAAGATGCCTATTCTGTCACCTGTGGTGCCTCTTCTCATCTCAGGAGTCAACTACATAAATCTAATGATTCTGCTTTATTGGGTAATTACCAAAGCCGTACATTCTATAACAGTGCTCAGTGTTTTCCAGGTAGGCTGACAGGGCCATGTTGCTGAGAGCTGACCACATTTTATCTGTCAAATGAGAATAATAATAATGATAATTAATAATAATAATAACAATGGTAGTTAATAGTAACAATCCCTGCCTTATCTACTCCATAGGCTTGCTATGAGGATCAATTGAGATCATAGATATAAATATTTTGTAAGTCATAAAGCATTCTACAAATTTAGGATTTTTTTCCCCTTAGGAACTTTCCTGCACACAAAGAACATTTTATAATTTTTCCTTGCCTGTGGCCTTCAAACCAGTTGAGCCCTCAGAGATACTAAATGTTCTTAACCCACACCATCCCTTACATTTCTGGTCTTATCACATGAAGTAACAGCTGACAGTTTATAGAAACTTCTCAGTTAGTGATCAGGACTTCCTACAAACCCCCAGAGAAACTGGTAAGTACACAGGGAACACGTGTGCCCCAGCACACACAGAGGCTCATAGAAATTGGCACAACTCAGAAAGAGACAGAGAGTAATGGAATTTCCCAGCCCCTGTTTGGCTTTTAAAACCTTTACCATATGACTGCAGCCTACCTTTCCAGCCCTATCCTTCACTCCTCCCCATGCAGTCTGTGGTCCTGCCAAGCTGACCTTTTTGCTCTTCCTTATTCATGACATTCTCATGCCCTCTCACCATGCCTTTGCACAGACTTTTCCTCTTGCCTGGAATGCCCTCCCTCCTCGCCTCTGCGTCTTAGAACGCCTAGTTTCCTTTAAGCTCAGCTCAAGCACCAGTTCCTACACAAGGCCTCTGCTGGTCCCACCAGCCCCAAATGCCTCCCTCTGGAATTACCTTGCAGTCATTTTAGACAAGCTTATGTGCACACAATGCCCCCCACTCCTATTCAATGTAAGTTTGGACCATTCTATTTTAGTATGTGTACCCTTGCCCTGTGCTGGCGCATGGGGGGTGCTTAATCAGTACTTGCTGATTGATTGATTGACCTCTGTCAACTTGAGTATGCACTTATAAGCCTGTGTAGCCCAAGAAGTCATGTGAATAATTGTCCCTCACTCCCCGTATTGCACAAGAGCTCTTGTGGGAGCAGGTAAGCGTGTCTGCCAAGTGGTCCATGCAATTTAAATAGCATCTGGACCCTGGAGACCTATCCTGAAAGCGCAGGAAGTCTGCCTGAGACCCTGCCCTTTCCCAGAACATGGACGTATGGGAACTAGAGGGAACCGAGTCACCTGACTCATGGCCACCCTCGGAGGTGGACTGAGTTCAGTACATTTAGTTCAAGTAACATCAGCCTTGCTCTTCAATTATAAAGCCATCTTCTCCTTCTGTACCAAAGCCATGGGAAGGCAATGGGCATGTTGACCTGGTCCTGTCCCATCTCATGCACGTAGGTCTGCTCTTTAAAATTGGTCTGCTTTTTTATGCTTTTCTGCAAGGGAATGGCTTATGAAATTTCTATTTTGTCTTTCTGGAAGGTTTGCCTTTAGAGGGTTCTTTTTTTTAAAATGTCAGAGAAGTCTTGTTGACTTCTACAGACCCTGTTCTAATTGGGACTGTGAAGACATCCTGACCTTTCAGAAAGTTACAAGATACTTTTCTCACTTGTAGCTTTTCCAATACTTTTTCTGTCATATTTGAACTTTGGATTATTTTTCTTTCTTTGAAAAATTTATTGATGTATTTATTTCGTCCCAGAAGACACTTCTCTATAAAGTGCATTCCTTCAAGAAACAATTTACTTTGTATTTTTTTTTTTGAAGTGGAGAGATATGTATAGCTTTACAAGCAGACTTTTTCTGGCGCTATAAATAGGATTATGGTATCTAATAATCCAGTTTGGGGTTAAATCAACAACTAAGAGGTTTAGATTTTTCTCAGGCTATGGATAAGATAGCAAATGCGGAAGTCTGGTGTTTTTAAAGTATTAAAAATGTGTAACGTGCCCTTGCTCAGTATTATCTGATCTTTTCATTCCTTTGCCTCTGAGGGTAATATCTCTCACTATTTCTTTCTGAAGATGTCGCCATCGTCAGGACAAGTGTCACCTTTAGGCTGAATGAAGGCAAATGTAGTTTGAAAAGAGCTGAACTGCTTCCAGAGGGCCTGTCATCAACGATACCAGGTATGGATGGACGTGTCTCCATGCAGCAGGGTGTCTGACATTTGGAGCTCATCTACATGTTTGGAGAAACTAAATTGGAGACTTAGAGATAGCAAAAGGCCCATCTGAAGATGCTCTTGTGCCTGAATTCAGCTTGGTTTAAGGACAGTGACCTTCAATGGGGTGAGGACATTTTGGATCAGATCATAATTTCTCCAGAGGATTTTTTTTTACAGAGGTAAGGCCAGGGGCAGTTAGGTGGCACAGTAGATAGAGCTCTGGCCTTGGAGTCAGGAGGACCTGAGTTCAAATCCGGCCTCAGACACTTGACACTTACTAGCTTTGTTACCCGGGGCAAGTCACTTAATCCCATTGCCTAGCAAAAAACAAACAAGCAAACAAAACAAAGTTAAGGCTGTCCCAAAGGTCTTGGTGCAATTTTAAGCAAGAATCATTTAAAGTAAAGTAGTTACTTCTAAGTAAATGAAGCAGGATTTGGAGCTAAAAGAAAAAAAGATTGAGGAAGAATACAGTGTAAAATTCTCCAGTTGTGTGGTTTCTTGGAGAGAGAGTGGCCTCCAGGCCCTGCCTTTGGCTGGTCCGGGTCAGAGCAGCTAACTTCCCCTTCCTCAGTTTCATGGGAGAGAAGATCTTTGGGGATCCTAAGGGTAGAAACAGCAAGGGTGAGTGGGACCCAAAGACCCTGGGTTGGGGGTTGGAGAATGTAGGTGCAAATCCTGGTGGGGCCATTTATTAATTTTGTGAGTTTAGGCAAGTCACTAAACTTCCCTGGGCCTTTGTTTCCTCATCAATAAAGTGGGAATAATAGTACTTTCACTGCCTGTTTCACAGAGTGGTGAGATAGGTACTTTGTAAACCTCAAAACACATGCAAATGTAAGCTATTATCATTTATTTGCACACAAGCAGTTGTGATAATGAAAGCTGAACTCCAGGGGATTGGCAGATACTCTCCAGCACTGGTACTGTTTTCATACTTAGATTTCTGATCAGTAGGAAAAACCTTTTTTGTCAATGGAATGACTTCTCAGGAGGATGAATCAATTTTAAAATGATCTGATCCAGGAGGCTCTGGCTTTTTAAAGTGTGAGCAAAGCATTTATATGTATTGTAATCTCTTGATGCCTGATTTTATCATTTGATCGCTTAAATGCTTTCGTAACAAAATGTTTATTGGCACTGTAGTGAATGTTCTGTTGATTTTGCTAGAATTTGGCTTCCTGTAATTCTGTTTTTTTCACACAGAGAAGTACAGCTCAATAAAAGAGGGCTTCCACTATGTAAACCTTACATGTGGCTCTGGCAAGCAAGTCCCTGGGGCCTTTGGCAGACCAACCACGACTAAAGAAATGTTTATCAGTGTTGACTTTGAGCTCGAAGCAAACCAACAGGAGGTGACAGGTTGGTTTGAAGTTTCCCCAGGTACAATCAAGGCTTCTCCCAGCTTGTTCCTTATTTCTTCATCTTTCACTTTTCAGCTTTCTTTACCAAAAAGTAAAAATAATGAAGTATCTCCTTTTTCTATTTTTTTTTTTTTTTTGCCTCCAAGCTACATTGATTTGGTTTGGAAGCAGAAGGATTTTGCCTTCCTTACAAGAACCCAAAGTTGACATTTTGTGATTGCCAAATTTCTGTTTCATTTGAATGCTGCCTAGTCTGTCAGTACCACTTTCCTGTGATGAAGACCTTTCTCTCCCCTATCTAATATTGTAGTTTGGGACTTTGGCTTGTGTTGGCATTTCAGACTGGATGCTGCCAGGTGTTGTGGCTCCTATACCCTTTCCATGTTGTTCCTTACCTCTTACTCTTGATTCTATAGCATCTTGTGATCTGAGCTGTGTCCTGAGGAAGACAGAGAAGAGATTACGTAAAGCTATCCGCACCCTCCGGAAAACAGTTCACCGGGAGCAGTTCCATCTTCGTTTGTCAGGAGTGGATTTTGAAGTGGCACAAAAGTCCCCTAGGGCGTCTGAACACTCTACAGATCCCTGTGGCTTGGGGCAAGAGCACAGAAAGGACAAATGTGGTGAGTAGGCTGGCTAGGAGCCTTCCTTATTATATAACCCATCCATAATCTGTTTATGTCCCCAATTAGAGAACTAGGTTACAGACTAATGAGTGTTAGATATAGTAGATGAGAGCAAAGGTGAGCATCATCCATTGTGTGAGTGGGATTCAGCTCTGTTCAGAATACACTGGGCCAAGGTGAAAAAGGGATTGTAATTCCTATACGTTATCCTTAAGACAGAGAAAATTATGTAGACCTTGATTTCCTCATAGAACATCTTGTAGCTTATCTTTTGACCAAACACCCATATAATAATAGGAAGAATTTACCACTGGAAGACAGGAGTAGAGTCAGGAAGCATGGTGGGTAGTCCAGAGAATAAGGGATAGCTGGTTTGGGGCCACTGCCCAAAATGGAGGTTCTGAGAAGAACTTACCAGTGGTAGATCTAATTATTATATGAATAAGTTCTTCCTGGACACCCTGCCTTTTGGGAAAGAGCCCAGACCAGCCATCTCTCCTTCTCCAATCTTAGTCCTCATGTCCCTCAGTAAGTATGTTCTCCTTCTCTCATCTTTGCTTTTCAGCTCCCCTTTTGTAATTTTCCCTTCTTTAGAATATAAGCTCCTTGAGGGCAGGCACTGTTTGTCTTTTTGCTTGAATTTGTGTCCCCGATACTTTGTACAGTGCTTGACACATAGTAGGTGCTTAATAAATGTTAATTGACTAACACATATAGTACTAAGACCCAACCTCAGAGTCAACCAAAGGGTTACAAAAGTCCTTAAAGTGAGTGCTGAAGAGAGAAACTTGAGTTCTATTTTGAAACAAAAAGATGATATTTTTAGAATTAAACACTGAGTACTGCACTATTTCAGAATTGTTTTGGAGGCCCTGTCACTGGGGTCATGTGGATTCTGTTCCTTTTGTAATGCATTACACAGTGGTAAGTATCAAAACTTGGTTACTTGGTTTAAGAGAAATTAAGACAGTCTGAGGACGAAAGAGTCTTTAGATATGAAGACTTTGGTCCTCATTTCTTAGAAAATCATTAAAAGAATTTTCAAAATCTTTGGCCCTGATTAAGGAGAACTGAGATGCTAAATCTCAGAACGATTATGATCGATTTTCTGCCAGGGGCATGTACCACAAAACCCATGCCCTCAAATCATCTTTTTCAAATGGATTCATTTGGAGGGAGGGAGACCCCAGGACACCTTAAAGCTGCTGCCCTGGGAAGGAGAGAAAGAGATTGGCCTAGGGCCAAGCTGTCAGTGAGCTTGCCTGGAGAATGAGCACATGGAGCAGCCTCCCATCTTAACTAATTATTCTTGGTTGTTTTTATCCCGCTGAAGGAGTGCACATTCTGTCAGGGCCCTCTAAATGTCAGCGCCCCTGTCAAGACCTTGGTTATCCCACTCTATTATGCCTTATGTCATTATCATAATAACATTAGAAAACACACTACCCCATTAAATTGTAGGAGAGATTCCCAGAATCTTGGCTTAAACCTATCTTAGAATCCTGATACCTCTGAACAGGTTGCAAGAGAAGTTCTCTTCTCTCACACTCTAGGGGAAATGACTTAAGGCACAGGCTTTGGCTTTCTCCAAGTCGGGGAGTAGAGAAGTACTCCATGTACAATGCAAATCAGTCATCAGAAGGTTGTTTATTTCTTTTACACAGAAGAAATGCTGGACTGCCTAAGAACCAGAAGCACACACCCAGCAATACTTGAACTTATACCTTCTGTTAGATACTTCGGAGGTGATGTAGGACTACTCAAGTGGCATTGCATTTCACCACGGCTCCATGCTGTCCGAGCATGCCCCTCCAGGTCCCAGCCCTCTGACAAGCCAGGCCGAGTTTTAGCCGACCCACCTTTTGGTGGTCTTTTCCAAGAAGAGCTCTTGCAGATATAGAGGGGGCACTTGCCCTCATGCATCGGTCGCCACCTGAGGAATCCAGAAACTTCTGACCTCTTGAATGTATAAGGCTGCTTTTAAGGCTGGACACACGTGCCAGGATTGCTGTGTGGTCACCTCTGGTCAGGGAAGAAAACCCAAAAATGCAAGGCCCAGGCTGAGGCTTGCCTAGCAAGCTCCTGCACTAGCTGCCGTGTGTGAACAGTTTTTCACATCTGCCAGGCTAGGGAGGTGGGGCAGCCCCCTCCCTCACCCTTCACAAGAAGCCTAGGGAGTTTCTTGCTACTTTGGAGAACTGCCGTAAGGGAGAGACTGAGTGGAGTCATTCTCATTTTAAGGTTCACCAAGGGGGCTGATCCTGTGTGACTCGGCCTCCTGCCACCATCTTAAGCCTGTTTGGAGTAGAGGAGCCTGCCTGCCCCTGGAGCCCCATTCCCCATACATGCTCCTTGGGGTGCATTACCTGATACAGGCTGTTTGCAGATTTTTGCTATTACAAATACTTTTGGTACTGAGAGGTCATTTTTTTCTTTTTATAATGTCTTTAGCCCTAGTAGCGGAGATGCTGGCTCTAGGGCTCTGGTCAGTGCTGTGATTGATTGCACATTGCTATATGGCTCTGTTTGTAGTGTATTAGAGAATCATTTTCCCCAAAGTCCCTATCTTTAGAGGTTTTTGCTATTTTTGTGCTGCTTGTAGGGGTTGCTTAAGGTTGTCTTGAATTGTATTTCTCTGCTTCTAAGGAAATCTCAAATTACCATCTATTACACCTATCTCTGGAGTTGTATTTTCCCCATTAAGTATAAATTCCTTAAGGACAGGGATCGTTTGATTTTTACCTTTATATCCTCAAAATCTAGTAGTAGATACGTGATCAAAGTTGAATTGAATTGAACTGGTGAACTGAACCCTTGGGAACTCACCTGATGAAATTGAAAGCTGGGGTTTTTGTTTGTTCATTTTGCTTTTCCAAAATAGAGTGGAAAGCAACTCTCTCTGTTTACTCAGCAAATTCTCAAATATTCCTGCATTATCCCAACTGTCTTTCTTAAACAAAAAATAAAACCGGTTAATTTTTTCCTCTTTTTAAATACTAGGTGTGACCATTTCTTACACATAAAAAGTCTTTTTTTTTGTCTTAAAAAATAGCTCTTATATACATAGTACTTTATAGGTTACAAAGTGTTCTTCCAACAGTCCACAAGGTATAGGTCCCTCCTACTTTCTGGGGTTCTGTTTATCAAGTTGTGTGTTACAAACAAGCCATCTCTCTCTCAGACCTATCAGAGTCAGATTCTCCCTCCCACCCACCCACCCATCTTTGTTAGATTGCTTTTGGATGGCTTTGTACGTTAGTCCGTGAGTCTCTGTGACAGAAACTTGGGGAAAACTGATTTCTCGGGCCCCATAGACCAAATCCTCATGAGAATGTTGCTGTAACGCTGCCTGGTATATGTTGCTTGAGTACAAAGGTCTAAGGATAAGGGTCAGATGTTATCTTAAGAGAGGCCTAATGACCATGACAGCTTATTCAGCTTGCACAGTGTATTTTATATGTAGCTGCCTGTGGTGAGTGAACGTGTCTTTAAAATGCTTGTCAAACTAAATTAGGTGGGGCTTTGTTTTGTTTGGTTCTTAATGAGGCAGAGTGACTTTTCCCCAGTAGCTGCACTTGCCATAGAAGGATTCGGGAAGCCTGGTTGGGCTCAATCACCCAGATTTCAGCTTTAAAGATTTCATACCAAGAAGAAAATCACAAGGAATTAATGGTTATACATCTTCCCCTTGTGCTGAGTAGGCTGTTGTGCTGGTTCAGGCTTAAGGCAGAGGAATTGTCAGAGGGAGGGAGTTGGGGTAAGGGTCAGATGCTTTAGAAAGCAGTTGATGCTTTTCCCTGTTCACTTCATACATTTGAAATAGGACTGGGCAGGTCCCTTGGTTTTAAAAGAAAATGTTCATGGACGGTTGGGTTTGTGAATTGTCGGGGGAAAAGTGACTAGTTTAAAGATATTCTCATTTGCTTTGTCTGATGGGATTCATAGAAACCAGAAGGATGAGCAAGATCTGCACTCTGCTGGTACTATGTAAGGATCAAACCAAAAGAATGGATGGAATCTGACAGGATCTTTTTCTTTTTGTTTTTTTAGTTGGGCAATGGGGGTTAAGTGACTTGCCCAGGGTCACACAGCTAGTTAAGTGTTATGTGTCTGAGGCCAGATTTGAACCCAGGTCCTCCTGAATCCAGGGCCAGTGCTCTATCCACTGCGCCACCTAGCTGCCCCAATCTTTTTATTTTAGATTCAAGACATAATTTTTGGCGGCTGCAAGAGGAAGGAACTTTGCTCTGGGCTAACAGAGGAAAGAGGAAGTATGTATGTGTGCGTGTGCACACGCACAACTTAACTTACCAGGCATATGGGAAATGTCTCCTTCCTGGTTATCTTTTAGTCCAACTCATTTGTCTGATGGGTGAATCTCTGACAAGTTTATCTAACCTTTGCTTGAATATCTCTTAAGGCAAGGAATTTGCTTCCTTCTGAGATGGTGTGTTCATTTTCATACAGTTTTAATGTCTAGGAAATTCTTATATTTTGATCTGAAATCTACCTTCCTTTAACTTTTCATTCGTCCTGGTTTTCTTGAATGAGAAAAAGTAGTGGACAATATTTTGACTCCTGACGCCTAATCAGAAGTGTTTTCTTTTAGAGATTTATGTACAGTAAGACCTCACTGACTTGAACACATCTTTTTGGAAGTTGAGATAATTGAAATAGGGGTTGATTTGAAAGTTGCCTGTGCACTGCCTATTAAAAGAGGAGTCTGTGGAGCAGTGAAGAGTAGTGCAAAGGATACGCTATCCTTGAGTTGAAGCAAACTTTTCAAATATATTAGAAACACGTTAAAAAATGTAAAGATATCATATCACCTCCTTGAGGTGTGAAAGTTACCTTGGGTTTTCAAAGAGCAAGTTAGTAGAGAACAAAGTCTGACAGGTCTCACCCAGATGAAGAGCCTTCAGATACAGGTCTAATCCTTGAAATGCCAAGTGTGGAGAAAGAGGCTTATCACTGGGTTGGCCACAGCAAATGATCCT